TTCTATACGCTCAATTGGGATTAGGGTGAAATCGTCTATTGAATGGTCGTCGAGGTTGAAATGATTAGAAACAGGCTTGTATTTCTTTAATTTGATGTCTGACCTATGAGCATTAAAGCGAGTTCGTAAATTATTCTTAGTTTCTCCTACATATTGTTTGGGGCATTTCTTGCATGAAATTAAATATATTACATTCGAATGTTCACATGTTAGATGTTCCTGGATCGGGTACCTTTTATTCGTAGAGTTGCTTACAAAATAATGAGTTTCTGATATAAAGGGACATGTTTTGCATCTACTAGACAAACATGGAGCACTTCTTAAACCTGGAGGTACTTCGGCATAAAGTTTTTAGCTGCTATCTGTGCTAAGGTGGAATTTTTTATGTTTCGTAAAAATCGTTTAGAGTACCCACGCTCTTTCAGTTTTGAGAAAACAATCGTACAGGCTTGGTTGAAATCAGAAGATCTTGTACAAATTCGATGAAATCGTAAAACTTGTGACTTAATTATACCAGAAAAGGTATGTTTTGGGTGAAAGGAGCTCTTGTGCAAGAGTTGATGAGTATCAGTTTCTTTGAAATACACTTTAATATCCAGTTTATTTGTTTCTGCTATGGAATCTCCCTTAAAGACTGTGGTATCGAGAAAGTCTATGCTTTTGTCACTCACGTTTGCGGTTAGTTTGATAGAAGGATGGTCGTTGTTGAGAATTTCAAAGAATTCCCAAAACTGTTCGATAGAATAAGTCCAAACCATAAAAATGTCATCAAAAAAGCGTCTATAAAAAAGTGGGTCAAATGGACAGAGGGGCAACACCTCACGTTCCCACTCTGCCATGAAAAGGTTTGCGTACGAAGGGGCGAATCGTTTGCCCATTGCTGTCCCTGAAGTTTGTAAATATGTTTTACCATTAAATGTGAAATCGTTTCGACTAAGACAAATCTCTAAAAGCTGTAGAATTGCATCGTCGGGTCTGTTTGGATACGGTTTTCTATTAAAAGCTTTACGAACTGCCGTTAAACCAGTAGTGTTATCGATATTGGTATACATAGAAGAAACGTCGATAGAAATTAAAATAGCATTAGAGGGAACTCGAAGATTTTTTATTTTATTGACAAAATCGGTTGTGTCTTTAAGGTAGGCGCGATGTTGGCATGCTAGAGGTAGTAAGAAATGATCAATGTATTCTGACACTGCATATGACTCACTACCACAGTCAGATATAATCGGGCGGCCTTTAGGGATTTTATTCGAGATAAACCACTCCTTGGTTGGATTCTTATGGATTTTAGGCAAAGTGTACAAATGTCTCTCGCGACAATCAGGTTTGGCAGACAGATAGTCATATTGTTTCTGTTTGAGATAACTAGTTTTGACTAAATCGGCAAGAATATTATTAATCATGTTAGCAGTTTCTTTGAAAATTGGTTTCGGAAAAATGGCATAATGTTTAGGATTATTCAGTTGATTCTCTGCTTCTGAAACGTAATCCTCCCTATTCAGAATGACACAACATGAACCTTTGTCACTCTTTTTAATAACAATGCTATCGTCTTTCTTAAGTAAGTTTAACGCTTCACGTTCCACTCGTGTGAGATTCGGCTTTTCGTGTGTTATGGAAAGGT